AAAAAAAAAAAAGAGGAAGAAGAAGAAGAGAGGAGAGAAGAAGGAGAAAAAGAGGGCTAAGGGGACCTCTATCTCAGCCTTTCCTCCTACCTCATAGCCTGAGGGCTATGGCGGATCACTGTCCTTGCTCCCTCTAGCTTGTAGAACCTCCTCCGCTAGCTCACAGTCACCTCCAAGTTTCCAGACTGGCAGGGGTTCCCCTCACTACTATCCAATTGCCTCTAGAGCTCCCACGGGCTCATTTGGGCAGCATGGGCACTCCTCACGCAAGTATGAGAGCGGCGGACTGATTCCCCTGCTTATATAGGCTGGAAACAGCAGTCCGCCCAGCCCTTAGGCCCTCCCAAGTGTCCCTAAGGTGAACCGAGGTACCCCTTTGGCCAATTCTCACCTCTAGGCCTCTCCGGGGGTACCTGAGCCTCCTTTTGGCCAGGTACATGCAGTTCGAGTGGTTGGTACCAACTCGGATTGCCTCTTGGCCTCTCAAGGCCTCCACCCCTTTTCCAAAATGCTGTTTCTAGGGCATAGACCCAAAAACTGCAGCCCCAATTAGAGAAAAAAAACAACAAGGATATTTTCTCAACAATTTTTCGAGTTTGCCGGACCATTTTTCAATGTGGCGCTGCATTTTCAGCCTTGGATCTGACTAAGATCTAAGGCCAGGATTATTTCGAGCTACCCCATGGTAGCCCATGCTTCAAATTTGAGCCCCTAAGTCCAATTTTTTAATTTTTGGTATATCTGGCTCTTTTTCGGACCAAATGCACTGTTTTGTCTTTTTTCCCTTTTTGTTTTCTTTTTCTTTTTGGCTGCCACCTCATTCTGGATCTAGCCGTTTTTTGCTGGCCCACAAAAAACGGTTGTTTTCCTTCCACCATGAGATCTGCTTTCAGATCCATGGTCGAAAAGAAAATCTGAATTTCACCCTTTATATTTTTTTTTAATTTTGTCTTTTTAAATTCAGATATTGTCGAGATATGGCCCTTGGGGCCATATCTCAGCAATCCGGCCTGCACTCCTTGAATCTAGGAGGAGTGAGGTCATCATTGGGACCTGGCAGTCCCTCCCTCAGCCATCCCAATATGCCGGCATGCTCTCCTCCACCCAATTCTCCTATTTTTCCTCATTTTTCATATTTTTCTCTCCTCTTTCTTTTCTTTTTCTTTTATTTTTGCTAGGACATATGTCAACTTGCTGTGCACCTTCTTTCTAGGCCTTAGAGCCTTGATCATGGTCAGGTTCATAGCCGGCTGTTGGCCGTTACGCCAAGCTGCCATGCCCATGCCTCTAGGGGGATCATTTAGCTCCCGTTAGCCTTCCTTTTGGGCCCCCTAGGTTCCGATTTTTCTAGGCTATCCTGTTTCTTGCTTGGAGTCCCTTGGGTTCTTATTTCCTCATGCCTAGCTAGTCCGAAATACCCCGGACTGCTGGGCAATCCCCCCCCTTATTATTTTTTTATTGCTCCTTACTCCCGTTTTCATCTGTTTGAGCCCCACTAGTGTTGGCACTAGTGGTGCCCGTAACCTCTACCGTCGAGATCC